TATGTAGTTTACACAATGTGTCGTTTGGTTTCTGTCAAAATCAAGCAAATTAAAATAACATGAACCAAATTGACACATTGTGTAAACTACAAAGACTAAATTGGCACATTGTACAGACTTTCTGTCCACCAAATTTAACAACCGTTATTTATTGGACTAAAATGACACAATCTGTTAAATTAAGGGGCAAAATTAAGCAAATTGAAACAACATGAACCAAATTGATACATCGTGTAAATTACAGGGACCATTTGCATAATTCATTCAAAATATTTTATTGCTTAAAAGAGAAATTTTAATTCAATAGAGTGTCATTTATGACTTTTTAGTGAGCTAACTAACATATTTACTTGAAAAAGATAAATGTGTTGAAAAGATAATGAGTCAGAGTCAACTTTGTAAAAATTGATTTATCAAATTTTTAAAGGTAAGTTATTTATTGAAAAAGGGAGCTTTTTTGATAAATCAACTTTCTAAGAGCTTTATTCCATCCAACCCATATTCTTTTTGACTATTCCATTAGGTCCTATTTGAGATAAGAAGACCAAAATACCATTTTCATCTACTTATGTTCCATTTAGTTCACATTATTTTCTTATATTTCAATAAGTCCTATGGGTGACATAATTACCCCAAAATATCCCTAATGTGAATGTTCACACCGTCAATGTGAATGTTCATATCGTCAATGTGTAGGGGCCCGGCCCATGTCGATCCTCGTGAGTGCCCGGAAAAATTCAAGTCGGGCCGGGGCGGGCCCCGCCCATTAACAATGTATATATTCACATTGACATATTAACATTCACATTAATAGAAGTGTAAAATTGGCCCGTGTCCCGAGGCGGCGCGAAACCCGCCCGCGGCCCATGGACGGCCCAGGGCGAGCCCGGTCCGGCCCGTTGACAATGTGAATATTCACATTGACATATTAACATTCACATTAATAAGAGTATAAAATTGGCCCACAGCTCATGGACAGCCAAAAGCCCGCCCACGGCCTAGGGGCCGGGCCCGGCCTGGCCCGTTGACAATGTGAATATTCACATTGACATGTTAACATTCACATTGATAGGAGTGTTAAATTAGCCCGCGCCTCGTGGCTGCCCGAAACCTGCCCACGGCCCATGGGCGGCTCGGGGCGGGCCCAGCCCTGCTTGTTAACAATGTGAATATTCACATTGACATGTTAACATTTACATTAATAAGAGTATAAAATTGGCCAGCGGCCCAGGGCGGGCCCGGCCCGGCCCGTTGACAATATAAATATTCACATTAACATGTTAACATTCACATTGATAGGAGTGTAAAATTAGCCCGTGCCTCGTGGCTGCACGAAACCCGCCCACAATCCGTGGGCGGCCCAGGGCGGGCCTGGCCATTTTTTTTTAATTCTTTTTAATTTTTTGTACCAAAATTTTATTATTTTTTACAAAAAAAGACACTAGACCTCGACGCGAACCGGGCTTCGGACCGAGTCTTGAATGGGCCTTAACCAAGCCGATGGGCCCGGCCGGGCTTCAAAGTGATGGCCCAAACCCTAGCCTAGGGTCTCGGACTAGGCTCGAGCATGGGCCCAAACGAGCCTTTCTCGGGCCCGGTCGGACCGACCCACAGGCCAAAAAATTAGGCCCAGACCCTAGCTCTGGCACAAGGGTATTCGGGCTTTGGACAGGCCGATGGATCGAGCCTCGGGTCGAGCTGGTGGGCCTAGGCTTAGCCTCGAGCTTAGGTCGGGCTTGGGCAAGCCCGGTCATTTTTTTTTAATTCTTTTTAATTTTTTCTACCAAAATTTTATTATTTTTCACAAAAAAATACATTGCGCCTCGGGCGAGCTGGGCCTCGGACTGAGCCTTGAATGGGCCTTAAGCGGGCCAATGGGCCGGGCCGGGCTTCAAAGTGATGATCTAGGCCCTAACCTAGGGTCTCGGACATGCTCGGGCCTGGATCGAAACAAGCCTGCCCCGGGCCGTGGGCGGGCTTCGAGTAGCCCACGGGCCGCGGGCCAATTCTACATTCCTATCAATGTGCATTTTAACATGTCAATGTAATATTCACATTGTCAACGGGCCGGGCCGAGCCTATCCCGGGCCGTGAGCAAGCTTCGGGCAGCGGACAAATTTTACACTCCTATCAATGTTAATGTTAACATGTCAATGTGAATATTTACATTGTCACGGGTCGGGCCAAGCCCGCCTCAGGCTGTGGTCGGGCTTCGGGCCGCCCACGGGCTGCAGGCCAATTTTACACTCTTATCAATACGAATGTTAACATGTTAATGTGAATATTCACATCGTCAACGGGCCGGGTCGGGCCCGCCCTGGGCCGCTGGCCAATTTTATACTCTTATCAATGTGAATGTTAACATGTCAATGTGAATATTCACATTGTCAACAGGCTGGGCCGGGCCTGCCCCGGGTTGCCCATGGGCCATGGGCAGGTTTCGGGCAATCACGAGGCACGGGCTAATTTTACACTCCTATCAATGTGAATGTTAGCATGTCAATGTGAATATTCACATTGTCAACGGGTCGGGCTGGGCCCGCCCTGGGCAGCGGGCTGGTTTTTGGCCAGCCATGGGCCGCGGGCCAATTTTAAACTCTTATCAATGTGAATGTTAACATGTCAATGTGAATATTCACATTGTCAACGGGCCGGATCGGGCCCGCCCCGGGCCGCCCATGGGCCGCAAACCGGTTTCGCGCCGCCATGGAACGCGTGCCAATTTTACACTCCTATTAATGTGAATGTTAACATGTCAATGTGAATATTCACATTGTCAACGGGGCGGGTTTCGGGTCGCCCACGGGCCAATTTTACATTCTTACCAATGTGAATTTTAAAATATGAATGTCCACATCATAAAATTGCTAACCGTTCAAAAAATATTTATAAGGGTATCAAAATTAAATATAAGGGCGTAAGTGTCCAAGAAAATAGTGTAAATAAAAAAAATGATTTTATGGAATAAAACTATACATACATGGGACTAAATGGGCTAAAAAATTTCTTAATGGACTTCTTGGGTTAAAACACTTCTAAATGGAATTTATCAATAATTTACCCATTGAAAAATGATGCAAAAATATTTTTCCTAAAAAATATTAACTTGCTTTTTGTTCAACCAAACAATGGAATGAGTAAAATATTTCTAATAAAAAACATTTTACTTCAAAACAAACAAAGATTCCACTCACTATTTTATTAGACTTGAGTTACTACTCAATGAGACTTCATTTAATATTTCATTAAATTTGACTTACTACTCTACTTACTATTGAATATTTTTGTTTAACTAGGTGAAATGTTATTACAACAAAACCTTAAATTTCATAAATGGCACATGTCGCATAACGTTAAAATAAAATAGAGATAGAGACTAAATATGAAGGGGAAATAGTTATATATATATAGTGTGTCATTAATTTCATGTGTTGTCAAATCAACAACAAAAAAAAAAAAAAAAAAAAAAAAAAAAAAAAAAAAAAAACTTCAAAAGAAAGGTAACCTGACTAACTGGTAATATTATTGAATTATATTTTATTTATATGTAAATAGTAAGTTTATTTATAACAAGTAATAAATGAGTTAATGATAAGTGGTATGTATATTTGTAATAAATAGTAAGTTAGATCTATTTTTCATTCCCAAATTAACTAAAACTACTTTAACTTTTGAAAAATCACTTTAATTTCCTATCTATTTTTAGTCATAACACATCTAATGACTAAAATTTTATCCTATTCAAATATAATGGTTCACATGTATTTAGGTACCGTACATAAAAACAACTTTCATGTCCCACAAATTTTTCCCAAGTTCCGCTAGCTTTGAATTTAAAGTGGGAAAATGTTTGGTAACTCAAATTTTTGTGACTCAAATGGCTCAAATCTGTCAAAACGACGTCGTTTTACACTTAAAATCTGTCAAAACGACGTCGTTTTGACAAATTTGAGCTATTTAAACCACAAAATTTTGAACTACCTAGCATTATCGTTTAAAGTGAACCCAAGATATGCATTGTTGCAAGTGCAGATCCTCTTAAAAAAATAATAAATAAATAAATAAAATTGGGTACTACAAAACTTGTATTTTTTTTTTTTTCTTTTTTGGGGGTTTCCCAATAGTGTCCTGGCCGGCTTATTGCACATCTAGACTAATCCCCACTTACAGTGAAAGCCTGCCACTGATCATAAGGTGTTACAGCTATCAAAACTCAAATTACGGAGCAAACCCAATTGAATCTCAGAACTTATCCAAGCTTGTGGTTACAAAACTGGTAATTATTTTTTAATAATTTGCACTAGCACCTCTAGGTACTTCTCAAATCACAATGTTATCTCCCTCCTTGCTCTTTGAAATGTCACTTCACCCCCCTTAATTTGGATTATCGTTGAAATATCACTTCACTCCCTTAATTTGGATTATTGAGTAACAAACTCCTCCTTCCTTCATTTAACCTTCTTTTATTGGTAAATATCGCTGCTGTGTGTTAGTGTTGATGTTAACAAGATCTAGCTTGATTCAATCATGTTAGGGACCACTAATTTGGTAACTCTAAACCCACCACTAATGAGGTGAAAAAGCCCAAAAACAAACAAAAACAAACAAACACAACACATACTGTGGCAGTGGATGACCCACTGCCACATCATTAGTGATAGCTCTAATTAGAACTCCCACTCATTTTTTTTATTTTATTAACTTTTTAACTTTTTGAATAAAATATAAGATAAAAAAATTAATATGTTTAAAATAACTTTTAAATTTTTTACGAAAAAATGTATAAAAAATATAAATAAAATAATCTTTGACTTTTTAATTTAAGTTATAGACTTTTTTATTTTTTTTAGTGACTTTTAAGTTAAAGTGTTGCTTGCCAAACGAGGCCTAAATAATAGTAACAATATAAACCCATTCCAAATTCCTATTTTCCCCAATGCCATGCTTCTCCATGACAATCACCAAATATGAAAGACAAAGTGAACTTTTACAACAGTAAATATCACAAAATTTGACCCATTGATAGGTCCTTGTTTGAATTAGCAAAGCATTATTATTTAACTTGAATTGAGATTATTCAAACCAAAAATAATAATAATAATAAGTGATTAATAGTGTAAGAAAGCCTAGCAACTAATGCAAGTGAAATATTAATTGAGAAAAACAAGCATGTACGAACCCCACGTCCGGTAAACAGTTATGGAGGATTATCTTCTCAATCAGCCTAAAGCTGCTATGACTGCATCAACCACCTCTTGTGTGGTGCTACTGCCTCCAAGGTCTTTTGTCCGGTGCTTGCCCTCTGATATAACCCGCTTCACAGCAGTTTCTAATCGATCAGCAAATGATGGAAATTGGAGATGTCTCAGCATCATGGCTGACGAGAGAAGCAAGGCCACTGGATTTGCTTTCTTCTGCTCCAGTACTTTCATATTTCCCACATTTCCCGCTGAAGCACCTTGCTCAAAAACAGCATGATCAGCCCCAACATTTCCTGCAGCAAAAACAGATGATTGATTGAATATTTTCTTGGCACAGAGTCTATTTTCTAACTAATGCACTTCATACATTCGCCATAAAGTTTTTCAACAGAATTTGTACATATTTGTATGAAATGAACATGTATGCAGGTACTAGAAGCATCTAAACATGTATGCATTTGGTATGGATGAATGGCTTCTGTTGATAAACTTGCAAACAGATGCTGTCATATAGAAAAAGAAAAATAGAAAGAGAAAATAACTCCATTTTCACCCATCTCATACTACAAAAGACATTAATAAATCTAATGGTGAAGTTGTACGCTACTTTTACCCTCAACTTAACCTTTGTTGCCATGAACTATAAATGGTACCCTTTTCCTATGTCCCATTGTACTGACATCCACAGATCACCAAGCATTTTTGTTGATTATTTTTGCTGTACTTGGATAGAGAACTGATCTATAACTTCTTTAGCAATTTGGCTCATGTCCAAAATGATAAGGACAACCTTGTTCCTATTTCATTTAATCCACTAATACCAGTCAAGCTCAAGCAGAACTGGTGCTACAATATGTGTCTTGTTGCCACGAAGAAAATATCAACTTCTATGATAAGCATGGTTTTAAAGTGAAGGAGTTGTACCACCCAAGGAAAAGGTTCCACCATATTGATCTGGGCATGTCAGCACACAAAGGAAATTATATGGAGCCATTTAGTCTTACCCTAACCATTCATATGGTTGAAATAATTTGACAAAAGTGCCCAGCGCACCACATGGTTTAAGTAAATCATTGGTTGGAAAAAATTCCCCTCCCAACATAAAAATGGCAACTTGTGCCCTGAAGATCTCACATATGGTGTCATCAATTAGTGCCATGTCACAGCAGTTGAGTTACAAAATTTTTATTTATTTAAAAAAAAATAAAAAATTAAGAGCTCATATAGGAAACATGTCTAGTTTATGTTTAGTTATTGAAACATGTCTAGTTAACTAATGTATGATAACTGAAAACCCATCAATCAATTCCACTGAAGATAAGCATCATCCAGTAAATTCCACAGAAAAATATAGTTCAAATTAATAGCAAGGATGCAGTAGCTTAAATTAAATAGTCAGGCACTTGAGTTAATTAATTTTCTTGAACTAACTCGATCCAGCTAGATTTTCAACACTGGCTGATTTTCATGGGGTTCCAACCAATACAATTAATGAACATTACACACCTATAAGTGGATTTCCAAAAACGATAAAAGGAGCAGAAAGGGAAAGGGGAAAAAAAATAACAAAAACATTAGGCAGGAATAATCAGAGTTGGAAAATGTTGATTGATGTACCTCCTGGCATGACTCCTGTGCCGCCAGCAATACCAGCAGCAGTATTTGCAACAAGATTGCCATAAAGATTAGGTGTCACCTGCAAAATGGAACCAGCATTTTTCTTCAGCTAAGAATCTTCATTTCCTTCTGGAAAATAAACAATCAAAGACGAAGCCAAGCAGTAGAGTGATAATGTTAATGACTGAATTTTGATTTTATGAACTTATCCTCGTATTGAGGCATAACATCATTTCACTGATCAATGCATATGTTGCCAAAAGGAATTATGATGATCCATACAGATGGAGAAATCGAAAAAAGTTTATGCCCGTACAACTATAGTGAGATGAGTGAAGGGGAATTATTTCTGTGCAACATGACAAGAGACTGTCTATCAAGATTCAAGACAAGGAGATTCTATAGAAGTGCCAGCCACTTTCGCTGGGGAACTCTCTTAGTAAGTAATAATACCCCGAGACTTGGTGGTAAAACACTTGCTTACCCAAAAGAGGTATTTGGGGACCATGAACCCCCCAAAGCTCCAAAAGATCCAAATAAACGAAACCTTCATATGTATTTCACCATAAGCCCTCCAAGAGTTTCAAGGCTGGCCCCTCAAAATTTTCAAAATTCTTGCACTGCCGGCCCTAAAGAAAACTCCTTCCTTTGTCTCTAGGATGGTTATGTTATGGGCAAGAGGAGAGCCACCCAGCCTACCCACCATTGTGTAGCCCATCACCATTGAACCTTTATAATATATATATATAAGAAGAAGAAGAAGAAGAAGAAGAAGACTAAAATCTACATGATGACTACACCAGTTATGGACTTCAGTTGTCCAGCAGCAGGCAGTTATGTATATAGAACAAGTTTGTAGCTAAAATAAAAAAGCAATAAGATGGAAAACAGGCAATACAGAGACAATAAGAATGTACGAGCATGAGCAATTTAAATGACAACAATCAGAGAGAAATAGTTGAGTGTTCTTGTCTAAGATGCTTCTGTCATGTGAAGCAAAACCAATGAAGGCACCACTAAGGAGTGATTAATGTTCCAAGAGACAGTAGGAAGGTCCCAAAAAAATATGGGACTCCTACACAGTGAGAGTAGCCTATTCTTCTGACAAAGCATATGTCCCAACATAGAGCTAATGCCCTTAAAAGGATTCATGTACATGACTCCAAGCAGTTAGAACAGGAAAACCATATATTATTGAATTAATTTATTGCAATCAGAACAGGAAAAAAAAATCATTGCAATAAAAATAATATATATAAAAAAAAGACTACTAAAAATATGATCTATCACCTTTATTTTTATTTTTTTTTTCTCCTTTATCAGTTTAGTTATCATATCCGGATTAAAAATAAATAAAAACAACCCCACATCACCTAATTTCTCTCTGATTGACAGCGAGAATAAGCCTCTTCAGGCAGATACATGTTGACACATCACCTCCAACAACATTAGAAGACATAATTCTAGAGTAAAAAGACGATGTATTGAGTATTTGCATCAGCTTGTGATAGTTATATTTCCACCATCCCTTTTTTCGACCACACATGGTTCCGGACTGATGGTCCTTATCTTAACAAAATCAGACAACCAGTAAAGAAAAGGGAAAAATAAGACAAACTAAAAATTTCCCCTAAAGGAAACTTTAGTTGCAAGAAATTAATTGAAAAGCCCACCCCACATTTCTCCTTAAAACCCAATTATTAAGGAGAGGAAAACTAGAGCCTTATAACTAGCACAGATGGGCAACTCTAGGCGATGTGGGACACATTCCAACACACCCTCCTGGATCATAGATGGGGCAACTCCAAGCGATGTGAGACACATTCCAACACACTCTCCTAGACCACAACATACAGTAGCCGGACAAACGGCACACCAATTACAGGCCCAACCAAGCTCTGATACCAAATTGAAAACCCCAACCCACATTTCTGCTTAAAACCCAGGCATTACCGAGAGGGAAATTGGAGCCTTATAACCAACACAGATGGGCAACTCAAGGTGATATGGGACACATTCTAACAAAATTCCGATTGGAGGTAATGTTTTCACTCCAAAACTATGATTTCACAATTCAAAATCGAAATCTTATCAAAATCTCAAGCTCGCCGAGATAGAATTGGGGTTCAACTGGAATGGAACCACTCAAACATATGAATCCCAATTAAAAACAATACCAAAGTAAAAGAAAACCTGTAGAGAAGAAATGTGTATCTTAGATTTTGGCTTTCCACTTACAGATAGGAGTAAAACCATATATTATGAGAGATAAACAGTGAGGTTTGCAATGATAATTTATTATTTTTATGTTTAACAGACAAGAAATGTATACATTTAACATAAATATTACAACAAAAAAACAAAAATATTTCAACAAAAAAACAAAAATATTTCTTGCAATATATTTATATTATATGTATATATATTGCATAATTGCTCGCCTAGGTGCTCCCAACCTTAGACCCTTCTATGTGTCTCCATTGTGCGCCCTGCTTCGTACAACTAAGAAGGAAACTTTAGTTCAAAAACTTTAAAAGAAGATGATGAAAGAAAGAAAGAGAAAATGAAAAAAAGTATCTACAAGGGAAGATATTCATGCCTCGTTTGGGGAGAAGCTTTTTGGCTAAAATAGTCAAAAGGCCACAAAAAAGTCAAAAAAACCTAAATGTCGCATCTTACACATCAATCAATCACTTTTTCCCTCACAACCATCTATTCAACTAAAAAATTATCTCAAACACACTAACTTTTTTCATCTCATAAAAAAATCAAAAGGCCAAGTTCAAAATAACTGATAAGACTAATGTTTATATGGATGCGGTATTCCATCAAAACACATTTGTTATTTATGTATCAAGTTTGCAAACTCCACAAACCTCTAGAGTGCCAAGATGCAAATATCCTCTACAGATAGTTAAAAAGTCAGAACTAAATAAGAACATGTAGTAACTAAGAAAACTAAATTCAACTACCTAACTTACCATGACATCAAATTGCTCAGGCTTTGAAACAAGTTGCATGCAGCAGTTGTCCACGATAATTTCATTGTACTTGATTCCTGGATATTTAATTGCGACCTCCCGACAAGATTCCAAGAATAGACCATCTGCAAGCTTCATGATGTTTGCTTTATGCACAGCAGTGACTTTCTTTCTGTTGTTTAAGTACGCATACTCGAAAGCATATTGCGCAATGCGTTCTGAGCAAAACTTTGTAATCACCTATCAAGGAGTGGTATCAGACAATATATACTTCTGAAGCATAAAATAAAAAGAAGTAAATTATGGAAACTCCCTATGTCTTTCAGGAAAAAGATGTGATCATAGGAAACAAAATGTAGCTCATCAAGAAACAAGTTAAAATGACACAAACATAAATGATTCTCATTTCGCAATTAAAAAAAGTACCTCTGAATAGACATGGCTGCATTAAGCCAAACATGAACTTGCCTCATGCACAAAACAAACATCAATTAAATCAGTAATTTCACTACATTTATGGTTGTTCTCTCCAGGAATAAATAGAAGGTTGACAATCCATTATAGCTTAAATCCTAAGGACGGACGCTTCTAATAAGGTGGTGTGTCCATGTCAAACACTAATACACATCAGATACTTCCCAACACATGTTGAATGTTACCAAGAACGCAGATCATGTTAGTACGAGGAAGTAGAATGGGAACGTGATACACCACATACTCTAATGTGGTACAATTAGGGTACTTCTTACTTTGACATCCAATCCTTCACTTTTTCTCTCATCAAATTTAAATTTGATGAAAAAATGCTAAAAAATTATCTCCAATCCTTTCATCAAATGTTCATCAAACCAAGAAAAAATCATTTTTTCATCAAATTGAGAACTTATCAAATCCGTCATTAATTTTGAATTTGATGAAAAGGGAAAATTGGGATAAGAGGAAAAAATTAAAAAAATATTTTGATGAAATATATCAAATCAAGTTTTTTACTCAAATTAGATGCAAAAATTGGTGAAGGGTTGGAGATCATCAGACACCAGCATTTCCAGATGCTATCTTCGGCATAGTTATAGGCTTCATTTGGCATAAATGGTTTGGGCTAAAATAACCACAAAAAGACAAAATAGACTAAAAAGCCAATAAGACAAAATGTCACCCCAAACCATAATTATTTTATTTTTCTCTCACAAAAGTCAAAAAGCTCATCATAAACGAGGCATTTTAGCCTAGACTAAAATAGCCAAAAACCAACCCAAATCACAAACAAACACATAGTCAAATCACTCATTTAACAGATAGATACCAAGACAGAGTGTGCAATATTTAAGCAATATTGACAGGTTCCAATAGAAAGTAATTTCGACTGGACAAATAAGCCAATTCTGACCTTAACCAATCCATAGTATGACACAACAGTAGTATGCAATGCATCTACCATTAAGTCAAATTCCATGTTCATTTATGTTCTTTTGTGTGCAGTTTTTACCATCTCATTTCAAAATTATACAACCAAACCCTCAAAAACCATACAATTCCCAATCAACCAATCACAAGCCCATCAAGATCGCTCATTCAATCGAAATTCAGCACGAAAGTATCAACCAAACACAATAAAAACGATACCTTGAGACTTTCCACGACGCCGGGAACGACTTCGTGCTCGAGGCCCGAATACTCCCCTTCGGTATTCTCCCGAATCACGACGATATCAACGTTTTCGTGCCTCGTCGGCAGTCCAGGCAAATTGAAGCAATGCACGAGCGAAGCATAGAGATCGAGCTCCTTCCTGAGCTGAACATTCAACGAGCTCACACCTCCACCAACAGGAGTGATCAAACCTCCTTTAAGACACACCTTGTTCTTCTTGATCGAATCGAGTACTTCCTGAGGGACTTTCTTCATGTCGCCGTGGACCTCGTACCTCTCAAAGTACACCGGAGCGTGCATCGCCTCCATGACCTGGACGACGGCGCCAGTGACGAGAGGGCCGATGCCATCGCCGGGGATGAGGGTGACCTGGCGAGGAGAGCCGTCACCGGGTCGGGGCATGTAGGTGACGGATCGGGTAGGGTCGAACCTTGAAGGCAACCCTAGGTGGACTTGATTGTCGGAAGAAGATTGGAGGAGTCGTTTTAGGAGTGGTGATGCTCTTCTCGCCATTGATGAATTCTAGGGTTTTGAGAAGATGCAGAAGGAAACTGCTGTGTGTGTATGTCTGTGTAGTGGTTCAGCGATCCGGCGTGAGAGAGCTTTGAAAAGAAGGGTGGAGACCGGAGAGGGAATAATTGAATATTAATTATTTTTAGTAACTAAAAGTGTTTTTTTTTTAGATTTGTAATTATAAAAGTGGTGATTGACTTCCTTTTAATTTGTGATCGGCGTAGAGAGTGTTGTTGGGCTTGTAAAAGTTTGTTACCTATTTTGTTTTAATAATTTAAATTGTTTAATAAGTAAAGTTTCTCGAGGATTGTATGTTTGTAAAAAAACATGTTCAATATTTAATGATTGATTTTTTTAGTGATTTTTTGATTTTTTTGCTAAAATCACTACTTGTCAAACGAGATCTCAGTGTTGCTTTAAGTTATTGGGATGGGTGAAAGTTTTAAAATTTATGATTTTATATCAGATAATTAAAAGATATGATGTATGATGATTAATGAAAGATTATTGATTAATAAAAAATTAAAAATCATAACCTATCTATGAGCATTTTTTCTAAATGTGATGCCAATATGGATTTTTTTTTTTTTTTAAATTATAGTTTGGGTAAGTAAAAAAAATTATTAATTCATGTAACATTACTTGTCAGCAAAACTATTGTGTAAGATAAAAATGTATGTCGTGAGTCAAAGTGTTGTGATTTTTTTTTACAAAACAACCTAGTATATAATTATGTTAAAATATATGGTTAAATATGATTAATTACTCACTCTATAAAAATCAACATAATGTTATGTGTTATTAAAAAAAAATCCTATTAAATATAGAGGGGTGATTTATTTCTCTATTAAAATATTAGGATTTGAATTGGAAAAAAATTTAATTTGTTGGTCAATTTTTTTTTATTTTTATTTTTTTTGGAGAAAGATAATCTAAGTGCATTTTATAGAGAAAATTGTTGAAAAATTCAATATGACAATTGCGTAAGGCATCAGATCCAATATATTTTTTATTTTATTTATGAGAGGTAAGTGCTTTTGTTGTTTTTCAGGATAGTTTATTCCTTATCTATTTGTTGAATTTTTTTGACCATTTGTTTAAATAAATTTTTATCTATTTCATTGTTTACTATTTGTTCAATTTTTTATCCTTATCTGTTCAAATATCTATCCAAAATTTATTATTTGTTCAATTTTTTTGCTTATCTGTTTAAATATATTTGTCAAAATTTTATTATATGTTCAATTTTTTCGCTTATCTGTTTGATTGTATCTCAACCTATCTATTCAATACCTGAGCCTTTTGGAGTGATTTGTTCAAATTGTTTTCCAAGTAGTGATCCGATCTATTTTTGTTATTTGTAAAAATTAGAGCCCTCAATGTGTTTGTTTGTGTGATCATATCACTGTCCATACAATCTATCATTTTATTATCAATGCAAAAATTACAGATTTGTTCAACAAAAAATCTTTACAGATCAATAACAACTACAACAAAAACAAAAAATAGATCTCCCACTCTCAAACCCATATCCAAATCCAAATCTAGACATTTTCTGGTAATCCAAATCCAAATCCGAGCCATTTTTGCATAATGAGTCAAATAAATAAATAAATAAATAACATATCTCTCCCATCTCTCTCTCTCTCTTCTAAACTTTGTTGTCCGCCATCGTTGACGAAGTGCTAGAGCTGTTGCCAACACTGTTCCAAAATTATGAGGATTTAGAGAAAGCAAGAATATGAGGATCTGCCACATTTCTCCTGTAACACCCCAAAATAATTGACATAAATTAGACATGATGATTCCAACCAATACTTGATTCCATCTTGATTGATCAATTTCTCTCAAATAGTATTTCATTTCATATGAGATGAATACAAAAGTGTTCACATATAATATATATTCAATCTCCTAAAAGGGTGAATGTATAACATGTGCAACAATAATGAGTAAATAAATAACAACAAAATATATGCTCCAAGGCTACAAATTTTCAAGACTTTAACCTGGTTACACACAAAAGGTTATCAAATCGAAACACATTTAGCCATTGGCTTGCCAAAAATTCACAAAAAAAGAAAGAGAGCCCATTGCCCTCTAAACGCTCCGCACCCTTAACTAGGCGGGATCACCACATACTTTCCTGCACAATCCACCAAGGGTAAGCACAAGGCCAAGTAAAAATATCTTAACAAAGTAAGGGTGTTTGGCAAGACAAGTTTTAGCTTCTTTTAAGCTAAAATTTACAAAAAAAACAAAATAGGCTAAAATAACTAATAAAATAAAATGTCACATCAAATTCATAGTCATTTCACTTTTTATTTCACAAATATCACATCTAACTACAAAAAAATCTAATCATCTTCCAAAACACAAAAAATTTAGCATACTAAAATAGCCAAAAACTAAAATAGCCTACCAAAATAGCAACTTCCCAAACACCCATAGTATATATGTTTAAGCTGTCTCATATACATGAATGCAATGCCATACCATGTTCAAATATCAAAATTCTATATTTCTTTAAAAATACATGCAATGTTTCTTTCAAAAGTCCATTTTCTCTATAAGATTCAAATAATGACAAATGAGTGATAAATACGACTCAAGTAATCCATAGGCTAGTGTTTGTAAGTAGGCATAACAAGCACTGCCGAATCCTCACTTTACCGGCTCCTAACCAGAAGGCACGTGGTACCTTCTACACTTGTATTTTCGGTCCTTCACCCTGGACACTCATGCCAACTTAAACAATACCAATTACACCCCCTATCTGGACTTATCAAACGTATTTATCCCAAACATTTCAATAACAACAATTATTTTCTCAAAACAATAAATTTATTTTAAGGCATATCCATAATAGAACACTGTTTAAAGTGATACAAACGCATGAAATGAGAGGTAATTACACATAAGTATCTCATTTGTACAATATATCCATAAATCTCCACATTTGTTCAAAGTAAACTTATATTATTCCATGATTCTTTTAAACCATAACAAAATACAATCCATGTGACATTTATACCTTTTTATGTTCAAAATCACTATTGCATTCATATCCCACGTATACCATTTCAAGGCTAATAACATTTTTCAACAACAATAATTATTCATCCCATGGATATCTCCATTACACAATTAATATAAAGAAATTTCTATCGATTTCTTGATAAATTTAACACCAATTTCGTAGATTTTTCACAAAATTCACTTTTCCCCAAATTTCTTCAAAACTAGGGTTTGACCCAAAAGGTTTTTCTTTCATTCTTCGTAGATTATTCTCACAATATATTTTCAAGAGTTTCATAAATTCATAAAACATTTCTAATTTGAACATCCTCATAAGAGAAGTCATTTTCATCAACATTTACAAACCCACACTACAAAAAATCCACATCATACTTCCAAAATCATAAAAGGAATGACTAGACATACTAAAATCATATCTATAACTCAAAGAACTCCCTATCTCAAGATTTTGAGAGAAAAATATGAAAAGTTTCAAAATCAATGGCGTCAAAATTTGATCTCCACTATACACAACGTAGCCCTTGATGAGCTCTCCAAAATTAAAGAAGGCATTATAATCGAAATCTCAATGAATAAGGAGAGATCAAGGATGTAAATAAATTGGGTGGAGGGTCTATAGAGAGAGATGAGAGAAAAGAGGATGTGAGTTAATGTAAAGCGAGAGAGTGAAGTGAAAAGTGAAAGAAAAGAGTACAAGGGCTCAACTTTTGAGTGATTTGATACATTTTTCGGAGCAGATTGTAGACAGACCGCTCGAGTGACCAAACCTACACTTAAGCGAACAATTCAAATTTGAGAACTACTCGAGCAAACAATTCATAACTCAAACGAAGAATACCAACTCCCATAATCTCTCTACCCTCTTGCAAAAGACCGCTTGAGTGATAAAAAAACTTTGCTTGAGCGAAGAACACATACTCCCAGAAGTTTAGACTGCAAAATGAGATATTGGCAGGTCGATGTCATCGTTTGAGCAGTCTCAACCTAAAACGTGAAACAGGACAACCTCAAAACATTCACACCTTCCCGATTGCACTCCAAAGTACAAGATGATATCTCGGAACACGCTAAAATATACATACAGGAATAATCACAAGGAAGAATAGGATAATAACACAAGGCTCAAAAGGCTTAATTATGATGAAGACAATTAGAGAAGATAGAAAATATAGATTAATACACTTAATTTGCTTTAAAAGGACTCAGGGCATCATATCTACTCTTTACCGTTATACTTTGAATCTGAAGAGAAACAGAAGAGGATAAGGAGAGAGAGAGAGAGAGAGAGAGAGAGAGATATTAGTGTCACGACCCAACCCCGCCCCTATAGGTTTAGCGTCGTAGCCGGCCAGTAATCCTTAGATTACCGAAGGCCTCTTAACAATTAGACTTGTAATTAGGGGTTGCGGAAGTAAATACATAAAAGAAAAATATACATAGTCCATCGAGATGTGCAGACATACATGAGACTGATAATTTTAACTTTTATAAACATACGAATGACGTCATAGGTACAGTATTTACACGTCACCTCATGTACATATAAAAGGAAAACTTGTTCATAGAGTAAAAGGAACAGTCTTATACATTCATATTAACACAGCCACAAGACATAACTTGATCTGGAACATCCTTGCGAGGTACAAAAGATGGCTGACAAACACAAAAATGCTTCAGGCATCATCTTAAGCCTGATCACGAGCCTGCTCACTTACATACATAATAAATAACTAGTGAGCGGTGGCCCAGTAAATAATAATAGAGTAAATGGGTAAATGAATGATGTCCCATAACTGTGTTTGAAACCAAAGTTCACATTCGTATTCTCATTCTGAGCATGTATACAGAGATTAGAGATTCATTATAAATCTTACATGGTGTATCCGCAAGCACTGACAGAACACATACAAAGAATGTTAAATCGTACTTGTCAGTTCTATAGAAGAACCTCCGGCCGAGTAATGATAATTTGTCAGTTCCATAAATAAACCTCCAGACTAGGAACTTATAAACTTGTTAGTTCCACCTAGGAACCTTCAGCCGGGTACAGATAGTTTGTCAGTTCCATAAGGAACCTCTGGTACCGGTCACTTGTAACATACTTGAATCATAGCATAATGTCATAAATGCTTGTTATTGTTGGACAATCATTCATAGTATAAAACATGACATTTCATTCGACAGATCTTATTTCATATACCAAAAATAATTTAACTTGAACATAACTTTACTAAGTTATTACTCACATATAACAGATGTTGCAAGTAGACAATTCAACTTCCTTGTGCGCGCGTGACCTACACAGTTACAGAACGAACGTATACTGAATTACACTAAAAACTTGCTGAAAACAGGGTCCACGCTCAAGCGTGGCTTTCCTCGCTCGAGCAGGCACGTAGAATGTGAGGGTTCGCTCGAGTGGTCTGTAAATTTTGAAAAAAGTATTGGTTGCTTGTTTTTTACACTCAACGAACGCTCGGTCCTCGCTCGAGCGTGAGACTTAAACCCTCGCTCGAATGTGACTTTTGTCGCTTGAGCGTGCTGTAAAACACAAGAACTTCTGAGGGTTTGCATTTTATGCTCGAGCGTACTTCAGGTCACTCGAGCGGAAGTGCACGCACTCAGAATGGTCGTTCGAGCGTAGATTCCTGCGCTCGAGCGTATATGCAAATTCTGGAATTTTCAGATTTGATCTCCAAGTTCAAAACTTAATCTTTAAGCACCAAAACTTGATTTTTCTGGGGCCAAAACTTGAGACAATGCATGGAAACTCTCAAAACAACATGAATTAGAGATCATTACAAGAAATCATGGCCCAATGACTTGCTAATTGAGCAAAATTCAACTTGAAGTGCAGGAACATGCTATAAATATGACATGCATGCATAATTTGAGTTCATAGCTTCCCAACACATGACCAAATAAAATATTCAACTAAAAAACATGGTGAATTCTTAGATTACAACCAAAATATGAACATGCATGTGAGATTTCTCATGAAAAGAACTTCAAAACTTCATGATATGGACATACATGCATGAAATGACTTACAATTCCCAAGTTCTAACTCAATTCTTGCATAAATCAACATAATTCTCTTGAATTCATGCATTATAGTCTAGATTTTAAGGTTTAAGGATCAAATTCTTACCTAGAGGCTTTAGTTCACAAGTGTTGAAGTTGTAACTCTTCAATTCCTCTAATTCTTGCTAGCTTGGCTTCAAATTGACTCTAATCTCTCCCCCTTCTCTCACTCTCACATTTGAATGAAGGGAAGAAAGGTGAATGGAGGCAATAGGTGCCTTTATATAGGCTTCATTAATGTTGTTTTATTAAAACCCATCAAATGGGTATTAAATTAATCTAATTTAATTGTTCGGAATTGAATTTCAACTGAGCTTACCATAATGTTCTAAAAATTTCAAATAGCACATATATCAAGCCAATTTCGTGATTGGATGCCGATAAGACCTTCGATTTATAGACCAAAACAGAAATTCAAACAGATGTGTCTACGATGAACAGATAAAATCACAAATTATGTAACACATATGCAATTAATTCAAAATCTGGTCTTAATAACTTATTAGACATATTAAATCATGAATTAACGTTAATCGTAGGTTGGGGTTGTTACAATTAGCCAGTAGAGAGAGAAATGGTGATTGTGATTATGATGGAAGCAGCGTGTGGTAGTCTAGATATAGGGTTAGGGTAGACAAATCTATAGATTTGTAGATGTTGACGTCGGATTGACAATAGTGGGAGTGTAGTCTCATTCCATCATTTGAACATTTCTGTCTTTATGATGGTTGCTCTAGTAGAGTTATCAGAGTGAATATAGAACCGGTTCAACTAAGCCAACGGCGGTATAAGAGCGAACTACCAGTGGAACATGGCGAACTCCAAGACTAGGTTTCGAACATATAAAGAGAGTGAGGTGATTTAGAGAGGAGAGAGAGAGAGAAGTTTGATGGTAGAATAAAATCATCTTGATTTTAAATATATAAGGTAGTTTAGTCATTGTGTACAAGTATGTCCTTATGAACATAATAATTTCGCATCTGAATCCTTGAATAAAAAAAATTAAATTTAAATATAATAATTTCGCATCTGAATCCTTGAATAAAAAAAATTAAATTTAAATTTATGAATCGAGTGGCCTTATTTTATACCACTATAAATTTAGATGTACTTAATTTTGAAAAATATTTTATTTTGGAAAGTATACTTTGCATTGTGATAAGAGGTATAATTTGCATTTACCAAAAATATCCGTCACGGTTGGAAAACTTTGAGCTTGGCATTGCGAAACGGAAGCGTGTGTAATATTCGGTAGTCATCGTTGTCCCACATGGCATGCGTGAGATGAGACCCGGTTCTCCACAGACGCCCGCGATCTCAATCTCACTCTCACTCCCTCTCCCTCTGCATAAATCCTTCATTATTTTTCTATTCGATTGGTGAAATAGGGTTTTGTTTCAACCAATTCAATTCAATTCAATTTATCCACTCGGCGGAGTCCACAGATCTGACGGAACCATCATTTGATCTCGTCAACTACAAAGGTTGGTCAGTTCTGAAACCTCAAAATCGTAATTCAATTCCCTAATGCACATGCACTTACATACACACACATACACGTACACATACACATACAGGCAAACCAGAACTTGTTCGGCAAAGCTGAAGCTTGGGGGGTTATATTATATATACATCTCAATTTGCATATATATATATGGCTTTGAGTTTGTGATTGAACACTCGAGTATGGGGATTTAATGTATATACATTTATTGACCATTTTCGTGTAAAATGTATGTATGTGACTGAGTGTTGGGGGGATGGGATGAATCAGCCAGCGGATGTGATGAAATTAACCATTTCTAGAGAAGAATTAGGGGATATATTTGTTTTAGATTGATGTATCAGTGGACACCAAAGTGAAAGATAAATATTATTTCAGTGAGTTAAGCAAAGTATTATGATTCTCGTATTAAGAGACAGAAGTTTCTTTCAAGCCAGAGCTCAACTATTCATTCTTGTATGCCTACACTTGACGGCTTAAGTCCTGTTATTAACTAAAAATGCAGTTCTGCCAGCTCAGCATTATGAGTGCACATTGAATGGCATGACAAAACACACAAAACAAAACAAAATAAAATGTTGAGTGATTGAGATTGGCACTACTGAATAATTCAAACCAAACTAATCCTTATGTCCCACTTAAATAGGGTCAGCAACATGAATAATTTTTTGCCATTCCTCTAATATTTTCATCGATACTGAGGATTTAATGAGGGATTTGGAAAGGGAAAGGGAAAAGTTAGGTGAAATGTGAATAAAATATATCTACATTTCACCTAGTTTCACACACCTTTTCTTTCACTCATTTTTTCCCTTTCCCTTTCCAAATCCCTCCCCAAATCCCCCAACCAAACACAACATTAGTTAATTTATCCATGAATGAGGCAAATAAGCAAGGACTCAAATTTGATCCTTGACGCCACCTTATAGTGATTGAAAATTACCAGTTCCTTATGCAAGCGATCTACTTGTAGTCACAACTCCATCATAAATGTCTGTTGTTGCATCAATATACCCTTTGGTCACAACTTTTCTTCAACATCCACCATATTATATCTATAGGCACCCTATTATAAACTTTTTTAAATACATAAAAAACATATGTAGATCCTTTATTTTCTTTCTATAGTTTTATTGATTTGACAAGGAGATGTGAGCAATAGTGCTGTGTTTGCTTTTTGTTAACTCTCTAATATTGTTCTCAATCTCCCCCCTCCCCCCCCCCCGCCCTTTTTCTTCCCTAATATTCAAAATGAAGTAATCATACAATTTTTTTTTGAGCGGATGGATGTACAAAATGAAATTCAACTAAAGAAGCTTCAATATCCAATATTGTATTTATTAACAATCTTTATAATAGCTTTATTGTCTTTATTGTAAAATCAATTATTATTAAACATGTTATAAATGGGTTATTGGATTCTTGTGTTATGTGTGTCTGTCAATCCAACACAACTTGTTCAGGTCATCTATTTTTGTGTATAATGAATAGTTCGGGTTAGAGTTGAAGATCTTGACTAATAAATGGGTCTTGTTTGAGTTGACCCATTTATTGTAAACCCAACCAACGTGACACCATTGCTGCCTCTAGTACTGATTTATTTTGGCTTCTTTGCATCATTGATAGTTAGTTATTTTGTTAGTAATAACTTTAAAATCTTTGCACCCTGATATGTGAATTAGACTTATTTCAATGTTTTGAGTGATTATCTTTTGTTTACTCACTCTCTCTCTCTCTCTCTATATATATATATATATGATCATCATTTGTAGTTGATGGGAAAAGAACGTTGAATTCTTGTATAACAAGCCACGGTGGTTCCAAATAGTGAAACAATGTCGACAGAGGGCGTGGATGTTGGTGAGATGATTGAAAAGCACGCAGAAGATGGTATAAAACCTGACAAACAGCTGATTGGCACGGACAATGGAAGTGGTGAAAATCTTGTTGAAGAGAACGGGTTTCATGACAGTAACACATATACTAGTGATACTCAAGATGAACTTGTAGAAATGGTTTTAGAACTCAATTTCCAGAATGAGTACTTGAAATGTCAGTTTGAGAGCTTGAAAAATTTCCAGTCAGAATTTAGTGAGACTAACCAACAAAAGTGGGCAATTGAGCGAGATGGTGGGCGATCTGAAGATTTGAAAGAGCTCCATGAAAAGGTAGAATCTATGAATAGAGAACTTACGGAAGAAAAACAAACACGCGGTGCTGCAGAGGAGGCTTTAAAGCATCTTCGAGCTGAATACTCGGAGGCAGATGCAAAAGCCCAGGAGCTTTCTACCAAGCTTGCTGAAGGTCAGAATTAATCCATTTCTTGTCTCTCTTTTGACATGTTTAGATGCATCTTCATTTTTAGTATGATTACTTTCAACTTTCAACTTTGCGCTTTGCATTCTGACTCCTTATACATCTCAAAGAATTGTTGTTTTTATACCGAAATTGTTCAGTCTAATGGAATCTTATATTTTTTTTAACATTATTAAGTTTTCTTAGTGTAAAATGCATTTGATGGTTTGTTTGTGTAGCTCAACAGAAGATGGAACAAGAAATAAAAGAGCGTGATGAGAAGTACGCAGAACTTGACTCCAAGTTAAACAGGCTTCACAAACGAGCCAAGCAGAGAATTCAAGAGGTTCAGAAGGTAAATTTAATTTCTGGCTTCTTTTAAGCTTAGCCTTAGAATTATTTGTGAGGCAAAGGGAAACAGTTCCCTCTATACTCATTCAGGCATTGTGGCATTAGGTTTCGGTTCTATCTATATTGTTTTTTCTAAGTTTGAATCTCCCACCAAAAAACTAGTTTGAATTTATAGTTGTGTTTGTAGACATTCAGCTCTGAATAACCCTAGTAATTAATTCATTATACTACATAAATTGTTCTTTCATGCCTGTTTGAAGGTTATTAGAATGGATAACAATGTGGATGATTTCATGTGAGTAAGTCTTACAAGGAACAATAGAGTTGTCAAACACCAGAACATAGAATTGAAGAGTAACAATATAATGCTTTAAATTTTTAATATTATTCCTCAACTGTGTTTCATTGAGCTTAGATTAATTATTAAATATTAAAAGAAAGATATGCTTGTGTTTATTTATTAATTTCAAATCTTGTTTGGAGATAATATTCAGGAAAAAGACGATCTTGAGGCACAGTTTCGTGATCTGAAGGAAAAAGCCGATCAAGCATCATCTCAACAGTCATCATTGCAGCAAGACCTGGATCGCACACAGAAACAAGCGAATGAAGCACTGAAAGCAATAGATTTGGACAGACAACAACTACGAAGTGCAAATAATAAGTACAATCTCCCAATCATTGCAAATTTGCACCAATTTACATAAATTGAGAAACTATCCTCATTTAGTAATTCTGTTTTATTTTTATTTTTATTTATATTTATTTTTTAATTCTACCATGTGCGAGTCCTTTTGATTTGATTCTGCTTGTCTGTGCCGTATATTAGTTGAATCTGTTTGAAATAATAGTATCTGTTGAGTTGCATAACAATGTTGTCCGCCCAATGAGAAACTCTAATCCGTAGTCCAAATCAACGTTTCTACGCTAATCTACCTCATGACTGTATGTAAACCATGACATAGTGTATTTAAATTTTGTGTTTCTATTCCTTTCCTTGTTGTTGTTTCTTGGTCTAGGACCAAAATACCTACTTCTTTGTAAATATCTTCTCCATTTGCAGTAAAGAATCAATTTTTTTTTTTTTATGATTATATTTTTAATTTCTTGGACTTCAGCAAAAGAATCTGTCAAACTTTGAATGTGAAAATATTGGGTTCAAACTCAAAAATGGTTGAGGAAGTAAACTTATCCACTGTCCTTTGAATGTCATGTCTCACTTGATATCTTTCTGTGTGCTGATAAGAGTTTCAAAGTTATTTTCTTAATTTGAAGTTTGCATCATTATTTTCTTGATTTATATAATTGTTTGTCCTTAATTTTGTCATCATCGTTGTGACAATGTGACTGATATACAGACTTCGAGACAACATTGAAGAACTGCGTCGTTCATTGCAACCCAAAGATAATGCTATTGAGGCATTACAACAATCGCTTTTGGAGAAAGAGCAGGTATAAAAACTTTGGAACAATTGGCAGACTATATTTATGCTTATACTTCAAAAGGAACTGCTTGTTTGTCCAATCTATATAGCTGAAATTGTAAATCCCTGAACATGCCTTGGGATTACGGAAGGGATCCTCTTGCTTCCGTAACTTTGCTGTTTGATGATTGAGGCTCATTTGATGTGCTTGTGAGTTTATGCATACTAGAAAAACCTGTCAAGTGTTCATGTGCGTTTTCTCTTTCTCTGTATATTAACCACTTCACATGTTTGTTTTGCATATGTTCAGTGTTTGCAAGTATGTTAAGCACTGCACATGCTTGTAAGAAGATGAACCAAACACTGGAAATTATAAAGCTTATTTGAACTTATCTTTCCTTTGTTAATAAAATTTTCTTATTGGTAAAAAGTTTTCTGAACTGCTTTCATGTCCTAACATATGACATATGTTTTTCAATTTTCTTTGCCTCGTACTTTTAATGTATGCATTGTGTTAAAGAAGAAAAAATATCAGATGCCCTTGTGCTTGATTTTTTCTTCCCTTGCAATTTATGGATCTTGTAGAGATGAACTTTTTGTTGTTCTTTCAAAGCATGCTAACACCTAATGGATAACACTAAACGTGCTTGGGGTTATTATTTGGGGAAAGAAAATTGATAAGACATTTTCGTGAGTCCATGCAAGTGTGATTAAATGTTGATGTATGTTCTACTTTCACTTACCCTCCATTTTGAACTCGTTTATTTTGTTTAAAGTTTAAAAGAATTTATCTCTCATGTTAATAGTCTTAACAAACTCAGTTTAAAATTTTCATTTTCTCGTTTTAATGTGAGAAAAATTGTTGCTGAAACCACATTTAAATTGATTTTTATGCAACCCTGAGCTATGATCAATTATATGTGAAGAGAAGCTAAATACTGTTTTTATTTTTTCTTTTCTTCTACTTCTTTTATTATTTTTTATTTTTAAATGAATCATTTGTAGGATTTGTATGTGATGGCCATGGTCTGTATTTTCCTAGCTTTACAAGTTGAGCTTATATCAATGTTTACTGAGTTTTAAGCTTTATATCAATGTAGGCTCCTAGGTCTCTCTCTATATTGAGAATATTTTCTCATCCTTTACAAAATCACTCCACAAATCAATTATATCGAAGAAAATGCTAATTTGCAACATCAATTCATAATTAAATAAAGGTGCTTTTGGAAGAGATGCATGATCTCTGAATGTGTTTTCTATGTCTGCACATTAACTTGCTTACTTGCAGATGTTGGAAGACATGAGAGGGTTACTGCAAACAGCAGATGACAAAAGGCAAGCTGCAATAGCTGAGCTCTCTGCTAAACATCAGAAGGTAAAAAACATGTATGCAGATGCCTCGGATGTAAAGTTGTGTTTCTGCTGTTCCATTTTGCAAAAAAAAATATACCTTAGTGTCCTCCTGTCTTTTATTTCTTTTTTAGCAAATTGAGAGTGTGGAAGCCCAACTTGGTGATGCATTAGCAGATAGAAGCAAAGCAACCGAAACAATTTCCTTTTTGCAGGTAAGAGCAGAATGTTGAAAGGTGCATTTTTGTTTGATAACATGGAATAGAAAGGAGCAGTTTAATTACTTGCATTTCTTCTATCCATAATATTCTTGCTCAAATGATCACATCCTTTTTTGTCTTTGCTCCTTGTTTGTTTTGGGTCCTTGCTTCTTTTTGCTCCTTGATCTTTGTGCCATTTTTTTTTTCTTCTTATAGCTGATGTTTGTTGGATGCATCCAAAATTTCCCGATGATTACTTGAAACCAAGTGGGCATTATATTTTTTGCAGGGCCTAATTGTCGAGAAAGAGTCTAAGATTGCAGAGATGGATGCAGCTTCAAGTGGTGAAGCAGCACGGCTTAGAGCTGCTATGGAAACTTTAAAAGGAGAGCTTATTCACCTGGAACACAAGCATGTATGAGTTAGATTCTTTAATGCAAGTTACTGAGATCTCCTTCAATTGCATTAACTATCTTGTTTGTTAGATTCACCTTAATGTTATGTATGTTGAAACAACTCAGATAGATTTGATTGGTTGAAAGATCAAGTTCCAGGCTTCCAAGCCTAGGGACAATTTTTTTTTTTTTGGTTGATAAGTTTACCTTGTTCATTGTTTTTTGCTAACCTTATTTTACCTTTTAACTTCGTTTGTAACTTCCTTGACCAAAATATCGATGCCACATCTATTGAATGGTTAGATAAATATAATAGGCTTTGGAAGCCTAAAATGAAGTCTATAGGTCCCGCAAAAGCGTTTTTGGTCCTAAGAGAACTGTCCATGGACCATGGTAGTGTTTAGGATCTTTATCACATTTATTCTCAACTAGTACGTTGCTGGAGTTTTTTATTTATGTTTTCTCTAAATTTAGGAGTTGGGGGTATTTTGGTAATTTCAATAGCCAATAGACATGAGTGGTAGTCGTAGTCCATAAGTGAATAGGGGTTTTGAAGGGTTAACCCACACCATAAACTCAAAAGGACTAGCCAATGTTTAGGGAGGTGAAGGACCTTATCTACTCCACACCGAAAGGGCTCACAACCAATGTGGGACAAATGTGTTAATTGGTAGCTAGAAATTTTCTATTTTTTTAAGTGGAATGCATTCGTACAACCACACCCCAGAGGACCCAACAGCAGTTTATAAGGGTTAGGCCACCTCGCACACCCAAAAGGACTAGCTAAAATTTGGGGAGGTGGAATACCTTATCTACTCCTCACCTAAAGGGTTGTTAGATGAATGCTTTTGAAAAAGTGGCAATGCATTCGTACTCACACCAGGAATACTCAACAGGGGTTTTGTAAGGGTCAACCCATCACACACACCTAAGGGACTAGCCAACTTTTGGGGAGGCTGAGGACCATATCTACTCGCCTAAAGAGCTCACAACAGATCTGGGATAAATGCTAAATGTGTCATTTGGTAGCTAGATTTCAATAAAGCTGATATTGTGTTTTGTGTGAGATTTGTTTAACCCTTTGCGAGGTTAAGCTATTGGTTTCTTTCTTTCTTTCTTTTTCTTCTCACTCTGTCAATCAACCTCTAGCCACTGTTTATGACCCTCACCCTAAAATCAGTCCTAACATTTACGGACCAAAACTTACAACAAAATTAAGATTTATTGTTCTAGGGGTACTATTCACAGCCTAAATTTCAGTTAAGAACTCAACCATATTGAGACCTTATAAACTCCAACCTCTTCCCCTCAGCTTAGGCCTTTGATTTAACTTCAAAACTTATAAATTGGCTGCTGCCCTAGCCCTTGAATACCAAGTTTCAGAAAATTTAGTGACTTGAAAATCTGAAAATCAGGTGCAGTTTTATTCTTATTTACCAACAAAACCTAGAACCTTCTTTCTATCACTTAAAACCCTAAATCACCACAAGCTTTTTGTCATGTTTTGCTACCCTAACTCATTCGTAAAGATGCCATATTTAGAGTATTCAAATATACAACTACTCCTTGACTGAATATATTTACCATGCTTACAGCTGAGCACATGTAGTGTGGTCAATACATAAACCTCTAGTTATAAAAATGGCTTCTAAAGTTTTTTAAGTAAATCCTATTTACTAAATGTAGAAGCTGCCGAGCTGGTCATTTTATTAGCGGTCTATAATTTGCCTTTCTTTCCAGTTTAGAATTCTTTTAGTGCATTATGGTCAATTTACCATATTTTCAGCATATATTGATCCAGATCAATCTGAATATTATTAAAAGACAAGTACTATGCCCTTTTTATTTTCCCCAAGACACTACGTGTAACAATTTTCTTGAGGTCTGTTGTTCTGTGAGTCTGGAAGAAGACTTTGTGTGCTTTTAACACTTGTCTTTTCGGAAAGTGTGCTTTTAACATTTGTCTTCCTAGTTGGCACCTGGTTTGCTAGATAGAAAGGTTTGGAGCGTTGAACACTGGAACTTCTGTATTCTATACATTTCTAAAGGGTGTACTCTTTTTGCAAGTAGAGATGTCTTCGGTTCTTTACTTTGGTGACTGAACAGGAAACATATGCCTTTTATTAAGGTTACTTGGAATGAGTCGTATAGCATTAATAATGTGAAATTGACATGTTGTTCCCCTAAGAAATTCTTTACAGATTCTAGGCATTAAATTGTTAGCTACCATGATCTGGTAGTATTTTTTGTGTAAATAATACCAATGAGGAGTCCAAATGTTCTAGTTTTTTGCCTCTTACAAGATGATTTGGAATGCATGAGTGCATCTTAAAGTTGAAGTGTTTGCATGGCCAATGAGTCACTTGGAACTTAATACCAATGACAATGACATGTTTGAGAGGAAGTGGCCTAATTGTTATCTGCTTCCAAAGTGGTGTGGTGTATTAGAGGGATGAGGAAAATATCGGCCATCTATTTCTACATTCTCTGGTGGCTATAGCATTGGTATAGATTGTTGGCAAATGATGATTGGGTAGTTCTAGCTTCATGTGCTTAGTTGCTTTTCATTTACCATAAGGGTTTTGGGTCCAACAAGAGGGGGCACAAGTACTTTGGGGTTGTGCCATTTGTGCTGTGATTTGGGTTATTTGGTTGTAGAGAAATGTAAGAATCTTTGAAGTACATGGTCACAAACATCATGAATTTTATTATATTTTTTCCAGTTATTTAGCTAGCCTTCATGCATAAATTCTTGGTTTATTTGCCTGAAAATTTTGATTTCAGGAGAAAGAAAAGGAGAATTGGGAAGCTACAACCCACTCACTCAAAACCAAGTTGGAGGTTGCTGAGAGTAACTGCATACGTATTGAAATTGAAGCTGCTAAAATGAGAAGTATTTTTATTTTCTTTGCTGAGGCCTCGTTTGGGAACATGCTAATTTAGTAACTTTTTGGCTATTTGGCTAAAATATGAGCTAAAAAAAACTAGTATGTTTGGGATGACTTTTTGACTTTTTACGAAAAGATGTGCAAAAAGAGAATTTTTGACTTTTTGGTATGAGTTGGCTTTTTGACTAATTTAGTAATTTTTTGACTTTTTGGCTAAAAATGAGGGTTCCCAAACGAGGCCTGAACCTATTTTTGGTTACTTATTTTTGTTGAATTGAGGTTTCACAAATTAGTTACCTGCAGGTCAGCTGGAATTAGAATTGTCTGTGCAAGTTCAGCTGCTAAGTACAAGGGATGCTGAATTTAAGGCTGCAAAAGAGGAGGTATCGAATCATTCTCTTTGCTGCTCTCATTACCACTAAAAAATGGAGAAACAAGGAAACCAACTTGTTTGATTTTTTTTTGATCGGCAAAAGTCAGTGGTTAGTTGTTAGATTAACACTTTGGGGAGTTGAAACTCACACCCATACACCTTGTAAGAAAATCTTGCCCTCCTATTGCACTCTTAGGAGTGGAACCCAAGGCCTCCTCTTAGGAGTGGAACCCAAGGCCTCCTCTTAGGAGAGACTTGGTGGCCAAAGGGCTACCATTTCGTCTGTTTGATGACTATGATAGGTTTAGAAAAGCTTTTTATTTTGGCCAAGCATTTACATTTTTCCCTGAATTCAAACTTAGCTAACATATTGTGATGGTCAGAAGATATTTAATTATATCCTCGATATCTGGCCTCTGATGAGATATCATGTTTATTGGGAATGGGGAAGGAAGATATGGAGAGGATGCCCTTGTTCCTGTTGTCATGAGCTTGACCTCTTGCTCATCAGATTATATTTTTTCCTAAAAAGCACCATGTGCCCACTTGGAGAGGAAGTGCTCACAATGAGGCCACCTTCTCAATAATCTTCCTCAATCATAAATACCCCAGCGAGAGGGCTGTATATTACCAGTGTGTCGTTTCCATTGTATTGTGATCAAAGCATCATTAACAAACCTATGGCATATTGAGAGTTAGGCCACAGTATTCTCCTTTGTCAATATTGGGAAATCTAGGATGAAAAATGTGCACTATTTTGAGTGTCAAAAATCACACAATCCATCTATGGAAATTCTATCACATTGATTTATCTGCAAATAGCTCCTTTTTATATAATAAATAAATGAATATTACACGAAGCTCCCACTAGAGCAGGGTACAGGGAGGGCAAGATGTACGCAGCCTATAATCTTTTGGTCTAAAATCTTTCTCCAAAATTAGTTTCGACAGTTTCTATTGTAGTTTAGAAGTCCAAACTGTAAGGAGTCCACAAAGGCTGAGTACTGGTTGGGTAGTGAAGTCGTTGATGAATCTCTAGGCTGAATATGATATCTGAAAATTAAGATGGAAGTGGTGTAAAAATTCAATTAAAAGGATCTGCCAATACAGACATTCTAGTGTTCCAAGCAATTCTATGTAACAAAGCCTTGGTCCTAACATTACAGGTTTGCAAGTAGATTTGGTGAAGATTTGTTTGATAGTTTATAACTTCTGCAAATCACTTGGTTCCCAGCCTCAGCCTTACCAGGTCACAAGCCCAAGCACACCGTGCACATGCAAACATTGCAGCACCATAGGCTGATGATGCTTAAACACACTGCACTGTTGCTTCTCCCTAGTCTCCTTTTTCATGCATCTTACTCTGGTACCTCTCATTGTCATCCCAATTTATACCATGCAGATCAACCGTGTCGAAACTGAATTTGCTTCTTACAAGGTTCGAGCTCATTCACTTCTTCAGAGAAAGGATGCAGAACTAGCCTCGGCTAGGGACAATGAACTGCTCAAAGCGCAGGAGGAAGCCCTAAAAGTACACACTTGTTGCCCATATTTTATAAAATGAAGAATGACTTGGTATTGAAGCATTATTGCATTGAGTTTCTTTGCTACTCACAACATTTATTTTTCCTTTTCCCTTAGGAGGCTGAGAAAGAAGTATTGTTGGTATCTGCCGAAAGGGATAGGGCCATTCAAGAGCTTCAGGATGCTCTTGCTAATCATGATAAAGAACTTGCTGCCAGGTAACATTATTGCTGAAAATGCATGTTGATATTTTTCTTCTTCAATCCAAAATTGCTTATTTATTTCTTTATTTGTTTATTTTAAAATTATTTAGTTATTGTCATTTTTGTTTCTAGAAATTCTTTCCATTTTTGCTTTTAACATTGGAATTGACCCCTTCAATTACTGTACTGGCATATTTGTATTTCAGTGAATGGAAGCTTTTAAATAATTAGATTTGTATTGCACACTATTTATTAGCTATCTAATTTCATGTTTTAGCATTGTCATAAATGCTGGCTTTCATTGTACATAAATTGATGTTCTGCATATTCGTTACTCATAAAAACTTAATGAACTTAGATTACAATTTCATATTTATTTCAGAGATTCAGCTCTTAGCACTGTTGAGCAGCAAATAAAGAGCATGGAAATCAAGCTTAATTCTGATAATGCTCGGTACCAATCAGAGAAAGAAGCATGGGAAATAAGCCTTCAGAATTTGGAAGAAACTTGGCGATGTACTCAACCATGCATAGCTTTTTATATTTTCTCACTATTTCCCTGTTTTCTAGTAAGTAATATCACATACTTTGATCTTGGAAATGAGAATATGCTTTGAATGGTAATCATGCAGTGAGATGTGAAGCAGTGAAGACTCAAAAGGAAGTGTCTCCTTGTCCAGATCTAAAAATTGAACTAGAAGATTTGAAACTACAGTATAAAAAATTGAAGGTATAATATATTCTCATCTTTTCTTAGAATGCTGATTAGAAGCTACCTTTTTGTGTTGAGTTATTTTATGATGTGTAGGAAGAACACGATTCATTTCGTGATCTGGCTGATAAAATGATTGAGGAGAAGGACAAAGAGATCTCTAAGCTTATAGATGACAATAAGAATCTTCAGAAATCACTAGAATTGAGACCACAGGTATCTCTCTCTCTGAGACACACACACGCACATACACTTGTACAAATGTGTAAAGTTGCAACAAAATGGTTTTTCATTATTTCTATTCTTCATCCTGACAATGTGGTAAATAATTTCAGGCTGAGCACGTTTATAGTTATGGCACAGGTATGAAGGCTCTTCCGGTCACTTTTTCCAGTATCAATTATAGTTAAAAATTTAAAACTCAACAAAATGGATTTTCACCCCTAATTAACGGTAATTACAGCTTTCCAGAAACAAGATGAGTCTTATACAAGCACCTCAGCAGCAGAACAGCAGATATTGGTATTCAGAATTTACTTAAATCTCATGTTTTTTTTTCACTTTTAATTTGTTGAACTTGATTTTATAGGTTGTACTCAGTTATTGATATGATGAGCTTCATTAGAATTCAATTTTAAGCTGTTGAGTTGAAAGTTTGGTTATTCTGGAAGGACAGATAAAAATGCTGGATTATGGTTTCTAGATAAAACCCTCTTCACTTGTATACTCATTCAATTTTAGCATTATTTTGTGTGCTGGTCCGTTCTTCATCATTTTTACATTTAACATTTGATTTGATTTGATTTTTTATTTTTTATTTACTCGAAAACTCTTACTATATGTTGTATTTAAGTTTTTGTAGATAATTTTCAATATTATTTCCTTTGAGGTTAACAATTGCTTCTTCTTTTTTTTTTTTTTGGTTATATTTGCGAATCAGTTTTTAAATATCTAAGTGCACATGAAAAACAATCTGAAAACATCATAAGAGACATAGGGAATTGTTTTTTTTTTTTATTTATTTTTTTAAAAATATTCAGTAGATGCATATTTGAGGTAAAAAAATGTGTTATTAAAGAAAGTAGTTATCAACCGGAAATAAAACAATCAAAAAAATGTAAAACAACAACTGAACTGTTTCCAAAACTTTAAATGATCTTATAATTAAAACAAGATGAATCGAACTTCCTGGTTTTATTACTTTGTGTATAAGACCATGATGCTTCACAATGGCCTTCCTTTGTCATTTCCCATTTTGTCTTTTGAATTATTTTCCTCGTATGGTCCTGCTTGTTTTCTGCATTAGATTATGTTTTAGGGAGAGCTCTATTTTCTTTCCTCAACTCTGATCAAACAATGATGTTCATAGTTCTCCGGCTACTATGAGCTTTCTGCATACTGCAATTGAAAGCCGAAGTGAGTCAGCACAACAATGCTGTAGTGCCAACTATTTGGAGTTTCCTACACAAATCCGGTAGTCGAGACAATGGTGTTATTGATCTAACTGGGGAGGGGGGGTGGGTTGTGTGGGGAAGAATAGAAAATCATAAAGGGACACAAATGTGAGTGAACACTGTGCAATTGGATGGACATCTCTTGCGTTGACTATCATGAACCCATTAAAGTTGCAATTACCTAGCTGTTTTAGTTGTTTGCTAAAGCTGCATATTATGAGAAGTTCCATTTATATATTCTCTCAGGGTTTTGTTCTTTTAAATCAAAATGTTCTCTATGCTCAAATAGACACTTACGGCCAAGAAAACACCAAGTAGTCATGGTCTTTTTATTCTTTTTCACCTTCCGGTTTTCAGATTTTGGCAAGACAACAAGCTCAAAGGGAGGAAGAGCTGTCGCAATCTCAGCGGCACATTCTTGCACTCCAGGTAAACTACTTACCTTTTTTAGTTTTTTAATTTAATTTCAAGAGTACAGATTTTGATGTACTTCAATTCAGGAGGAAATTGAGGAGCTTGAACGAGAAAATCGTCTCCACAGCCAACAGGTATCTACAAATCTAAGTTTCTTTACATTTTTGCCTGTTTATTTTAGGTGAAGCACTCTCAAAGCATAATTCTGTGATAGATGTTCCATATACTTTTCTCATTTTTTAAGCAGTCTTTTAACTTTACGTGGGTGCCTAGCAGTAGTAGGATGCTTTAACCAGTTTTTATTTACTTTAGCGAAATGTTACCAATTATTTTTTTTAATCTGATTTTATTTAATTATCTTTCATCCATTTTAAAGAAGAATGAATGAATAACTATATTGATGATTTGATAAATAGGTTATGTAAGTGGGAAGGGATGTGGTGAAAATCTGATAGGTTACCATAATAGAAGGTTGTGTGTTGTCCAGAATTGGATTCTGTTTGTTATCTAGAAGTATTTAATTCTTATCACAAATATCATTTTTTATACTAGAGTTTGCAAATATTGTTAGACATGAAGGTATCATCCTAAATGCAAACTATGTGACTCTTTGTTTCACAATGCAACCATTAAGCATACTTCCAGTCATTATTGTTGTTTTATAGGAATTTTTATTTCATGTGTGCATGTATGCGTGTCTCGGTGTGCATTTTGACTTTTGATGGAGGATGTGATCTGAGTGCACTTCAATTTGTCCTCCTGGTTTTCCTTTTACTAATTGACTTGACTTTTGACTATAACGACTGTAGGAAGCCATGCTGAAGGAAGAGCTCCGGAACATGGAGAGAATGAAAAAGAGGGAAGGGGTAGATATGACGTATCTTAAAAATGTAATCCTAAAGCTTCTTCAAACAGGTGCACTATGAATCTTACCGTTTGGTTCCACTTATTTGCAACTTACATTTAGCTTAAAATTTGAAATCACATGCTTAAGCAATTATACTTCAAAAGGTGTTTGGTTCTACTTTACAGGTTTCCACAGTTTATTTGCTTTTTCAGCTTAAAAAGCTCAAAAAGATTATTTTTAAAGCTGGGGTTTCAATGCATCTCTCAAGCTAAAATCAACTTTTTTTTTTATTATTTATTTATTTATTTTTTTAAGTATTACCAAACATATCTGACTGAATTAGAAGCCAAATTTTTTTATTTCTATTCACCCTTATGTCAAAGAATGTCATCTTGCATTAAAATATATATATATATATATATATTTGATGAAATCTCTCCTCTTTTATTTTTGAAATAATTTTATGCCGTTGGACTTTCTGTAAACAGGTGAAGTGGAGGCTCTGCTACCTGTGGTTGGAATGCTTCTTCAATTCAGTCCTGATGAGGTGAATTTCCTATTTTCCCTTGATGCTCCAATGTTGTTGCAAATCTAAACTTAGGATTAATAAGTTATAACTGTTCAATCAGGTCATTAATAGTATGTGAGAGAAGCATTCTGACCATTTGCCCATTTGTTATTTACCAAAAAAAGAAAAAAGAAAACAGCCCATTTGTTTGTCAGTCTCTGGTAATTTCTCATGTAGTCATGTCCCTTTTTGCCTTGAAAACAAACTACCAGATTGGGTGCCATATTAATAGTTGGGAGAATGTGTCTCGGTTCATAAGATGCTTGGAAATGATTTTCCTAGTAACTAGGCACTTAAATTGAAAATTGATCGTAGTTATATAAGAGTAGATGTCCTGAAACCTTCCTGATCATTCATTTCCGTCCATCATTTAGGTAGTGTTCGATATGTTTAACCGTCAAGTTTGGACTATTGGATGAGTACCCCAAGCATTAATCCAGGCCAAACCAAACAGTTAAGAAGTGATTGATATTTCTGGGGCAATTATTCCAGGGATTTATAATCCCACTTTATCATATCCCGTAAAACAAACATGGTCTTGTTTAAATCAGAGGTACAACCTTGAACAATGTTAATTCATTTATTTTTTATAATCAAAAGATTAATATAAACTATCAAAAACGCTTAACCACACTTATATATCACACATCTATAACTGCACAAAAGACAACCCGAAAGGGAGAATCCTTGCTCAACCAAGAAAAGAAGAAAAGAAACGAGTGTGGATCGTTTCAAATGAAACAAAGGTAACTCAACTTCTTCGAACAATCTTTGGTTGTGTTCCTTCCAAACCCATCCACAGCACAAACTGAGATGCTGTAACTATCTGCTAAAGCCACTGGCATTGAATTTGGCAATGCAGATTCAGAAGTGTCAACAAGCCTACCGCAATTCAACAGATGTTCCACCGAGCCCAGCAAGTGATGCATCAGGATCTAGCCGCTCTCTTTTCTCCAGATTTGCATTTTCTTGACAGCGGAAACAATTGTGAAGGAAATACTTTCGCTGTGGGGAGAAGAACTATCTGGCAACCATGATCCACTGGCAACAATATTTGGCTCTTTGGCCAGAGGCTGGGGGAAGCCGGGATGGAGGGAAGTCACTGTAATTCATATATATTCTTTTTGTAACAACAAACTTTATATATTAAACACTGTTGAGATTATTGTAAAGAACTATAATACGATAGGAAATGAAACACATCAAATGCAAGAGATGAAGACCTCCTGTATGGCGGGATTTTGTGGAGTACTGTGAAGACACCAGAGTTATTTGGTTTTCATTTAGTTTTTTTTTTTTTTTTTTTTTTTCTCATTTTTTGGCATAGCAGAAAAGAGTATAGTATTTGTGACTAATTTATATATGACAATATCTTACTGAAATTTCTTGTTATACCTTCCACTTTTCTGATTCTTATTTATTTTTAAAAAAAAATTGTGTCAAAGTCACTGGGTTATTGTTAAAGATGAGAATAATGTCCAAAAATTTGGAATTTTAGTGCCTTTTTATGCACTTTTCCCTTACATTAGTTTCTTAGGCTGGAAAACATTTTTTAGATTTTTTAGTTTTTTTTTTTTTCAGTATGAAAACAAGAAAATATTTTTTTTATGTTAGGTTATGATTTTAAAACTAATTTAGTAGTTGTGTTAATGGTGGTGACGGTAGTGGAGGTGATAGTGCTGATGGTGGCTGGGGGTGGCTGTGGTGGCAATGGGATAACATTTTTTGTTGAAAATATTTTTCATCTAAATAAATTTTTGTTTTTTTGTTTGACGATGGAAAATTCATTTATTGTTGTACCAAAAGAAAAAGAAAAAGAAAAAAAATCAATCACAAAGTGTTAAAATGTGATTTTGTTTAGTTATCCACAAGTAGATAAATATTTATTTAATTTAATTTTTTATTTTGAAAATTAGTTCTTTCAACGTAAGAAGAAGATCCATGAGGTGAAGAAGAAAAAGGAAAATGTCCGTAGCTCAAATTTTGTGGCTCAAAAGTGGCTCAAATGACCAAAACGACGTCGTTTTGACCATTTTTATGTTGTTCTGTATTCAAAACGACGTCGTTTTGGCCATTTGAGCCATTTTTGAGCCACAAAATTTGAACTACGTAGTATTGTCGGAAGAAAAATTTATTTTGTTCAACCACCCTCGGGGGACCCACATTTATTGGCACTACACAACCAGTGTGAGTGTGTCATTCATCATTCTCATTCATAGCCAATTATGCTATGAGAAAGTGTTGACTTATCCACCCCGTTTGAAGAAATGTACAAATCTGTAGAGCACAGTGAGCAACTTGCACACCAAAGTTTCCAGATCCAAAAGGTAGATATTTTAAGAGTTAAATACGTTTAACAGTGGTGATTAAGAGCTATAATAATAAAATTTTAACAAGAGTATTAGTGATGTGACAATTTCAAAATAAAAAATAAAACAAAACAAACAAAAGTTAAAATATCAAATCACACAGTCAGATCTACAGATTGACACTCTTTTTAGAACTCACAATTTAGAGGTCGGAAGCATTTTTTTACGTTTAATTTCTTCCGTCATTTTCATAAATGCGACACGAGGGTTGGTGGTGTTGGTGGTGTTGGTGGATGATGTGATGGCTAAGTAATGTGGTGGTGTCGTGTACTAAAATATTCTTTTCCTTAAATACTTTATACTTTTGTTAGATGTGTGCAAATTTTACTTACCAACCGTGGTTTATGAATACCACGGGGGGCGGGGGCCCAAGTAGCTAATGTAATTAGCGTACTCCGATTGATTTGAAAATTTTTTTGACCTGTGATTGAATTCTATTAGTGTTTTGGTAATGAATTTTTTTTTATGAGTTAGATTAAATCTAATTTATAATCGATTATTTCAGAATTAAAATTTACGAATATTGTGACGATACCACACGAATATTGTGACAACATCACAGGACATTCTTTTTTTTATATTAAAAAACAAAAAACCTCAGATTATGAGTATACATGTTTGACATTTTGACTCAGTGGTTGTGAAATATTATTTTGTACTTGTTGAGTTTTCTTCTTATTCAAATTTTATATCAGAGAATTTGAAGGGTTCAAGTCCCGTTTTGATAATTTGAACCGTTCATTTTATAAAAACTCTCAATGTATATCATTTATGAAAAAAATTAATTTGATTCGATAATCGTAATTTTTTCATTTTATAACATTTGTGTTGAAAAAATAGACAACAAATATATTTTTGAAAATAGATCATCTATTTTTGTAGGGACAAACACGATGAATTAAAAATATTATGATTATCAAATCGATTTAATTTTTTTCATAGATAATGAACTGTTGAGATCATCAAAACAAGACATGTGGTGAACTCCTAAAATTCTCTGATGTTGAAATGCGAAAATGAAATAAAGCCAACCCATTTTGTAATATAAGGTTATGGATTCAATTTTTACGAAGAAATTTGATATCTTTGTGCTATTTATTTATATAATTATTTATTATTTATTTCTCTTTTTAAATTAAATTTGAGCTTGGTGCTTGTTAGATTTTTTTTAGCTATTGGTAGATTTTAATTGTCTAGCTTCATGTAGCTCTGTTTGTTTCAAAATATTTCATTTATTTTTCATTTGATTAGCTTATTTACGGACTTTTGATATGTATCTCTCTCTCCAATGTTTTTCCGATGAAACAATGAAAAACAAAGGGGGAATTATCTTACAGTGGGTTCAAAAGATGTAAACCACAAATCAGTGGGATATGTTTAAAAATTTCAACAACATTGACAAGTGAAAAATATATTACAAGAACATGACCCTCAACTCTCAAATCTCTACCAAGACACATCACACACATCACAGTTCTGCTCTCTCCTCCTAGCACACAAATCACATCACCCACCTCACTTTATAATTAAAAAATAAAATAAAATTTATTCTATTTTATTTTAAGAAAATATATGTAAATTTTAATATATAAATTTAATTTTTATAAAATTAATATTATTCAAAAAATATCAACAAAATCTTTAAAATGAGACTAATATTTAATGAAAATTTAAATTAATAATTCAAAAAATATTAAAAAAAAACTTATATAATTAAAATGATTTGTATGATTTGAAATTAGTATAAATAATAATGATTTAGAATTACTTTTTAAATAGAAAATATTATTTTTATTCATTAAGAGAAAAAGTAAAGACTAATAAAAATAAAAATATTAACACAAACTGTATATATATATATATAAAGAATACCGTAATTTTCAAATCACATGAATATTGACTCAAATAAAAAAAGAATAATAAATTATAATAATTATACCATACAAATAATAATAATTGAAGCATACAAATATTATTTTGTATTTTTATTAACTCAAATTATACAATAAAAATAATACAAATTAATACAAAAATAAAAGTTCACTAAAAATAACTACAAAAATAGTCACATATATTTTAGCATTAAAAATAGTTTCTAAAAATTAGGATATTAGAAATTCAATTCATCATATTTAGTTGAATTTTGTCTTCTATATTTTTTAAAAAATAAAAACTAGTTTGTAAAAAAAATATCAATTTCATATGATTCTATCTTTTTTGTGAGAAAAATATTTTTTATAATTAATAAACATTTTTTTATGTTTATTTTTCAAATAAAATATAGATTAGTTTGACAAAAAAATTATAAAAATACTACAACCTGTGCATCGTGTAAGTTCAATTTGTGCGGAGTGCAAGTTCAAACTGTGTAAGGTGCAAGTCAAATTTGTGCGGGATGCAAGTGTAATGACCCTCGCCACTGTTTACCGCTAAACTACCGATTACTGCTAAACTGAGACTGATTATGGAAAGTAATTGAACTGATTGAAATACTGAACTGACTGACTGAAATCTGAAACTGATTGATTGACTGTATCTGTTTAAATGCATTATCTATCTGTTTGACTGTTTGATTATCTGTTTATGTTTTTATGGTTAAATTGCAAATTGAAGGCCTTATCGGCGGCCGAACCCGAAATCGATTAGTGTTTTATGATCAATAGAATTTATGCGAATTTATGGTGTATTTATCTGAAAATTGATTTGGTATAATTAAATTGGATTAAAATGAGTTAAATTGCAATAGTTGGCTTAATTACCAACATGCCACTTAATGGACCACTTAGGCAACATATTTGAGCTTTATTATACATTCAACACAATATTTCATTAGCCTCTTTCCTTGTTATTGCCGACCAAGAGAGGAGAGTGAGAGGTTTGGAATGAATTCAACTTGATTTTGTGCATTGGCTTGAAGAATTGGAATATAGGTTGCAAATTAAGCTTCCTCACCTTGTATTGGAGACCTAGGTAAGGGAATTCAACCTCTCATTGTTGTGTTTAAGCTTGTTCTTGCATGGTTTTGAGCAAAGTTGAAGTCTAGAGCCAATTTATGGCTCAAATTGTTGAATTGGAGCTTAAGTGTTGCATGCATGTATATATATTGAAGTTTTGAGGTTGTAGTCCATAATTCCTCACATGCATGTCCATGTTTTGAGTGTAGACCATGATTTCATCTTGTCTTTGAAGATATTGACTCGTTAGAGCATGAAATTGAAGCTTTGAAATGGTTTAAATTCATGCATGTTATGTTTGAATTATGTTCATGAAAATTGGTTTCAAATTGAGTTGAATCGATCTTCCTTTTGGGCCTTGATTTTACAAATTGAGCTTTGAATCATGTTATTCTATGTATTTACAAATGTTTTCCAGGAAAAGGGCCCAAAGGAATTGGTTTTAATGCATTTGAACTTGGTTTGAGCTTGGAAGTTCAAATCTGGAAATTCCAGATTTTGAACTCCCGCTCAAGCGGGGGAAGTGGCGCTCGAGCGGGAAATTCGTGCTCCCAGTACTTTGCACTGTTTTGATGTCCGCTCGAGCGGAATAATTGACGCTCAAGCGGGACCTTGTGTCTCACGCTCGAGCGGCTATCGAGCGCCCATCGAGTGTGATTTTCACACATCCAGTACTTTTGCCCTGTTTTGCAGAACGCTCGAGCGGGTAAGTCTACGCTCGAGCAGAAACCTTTGTCTGCATGTCTGCTCGAGCAGAGTAACCTACACTCGAGCGTGACCCCT